CCAGCCAATGTTTTGGTAAACAAATCAGCCTATTGTTCTTCACTTCTGCAATGTGAAAGTTCAATTCTCCCTTTATTTACCATATCTCTCAAGAAGTGATACTTCACTTTTATATGTTTACTTCTGCCATGACTTACAGCCAGATTGATAGCAGATGTATTATCCATCCTTAGCTTCACTGAGCTTTCACTTACTATCTTCAACTCTGCCAGCAACTCCTTCAGCTAGATACCTTGACAAGCGGCATAGCAACCTGCTATATACTCTGCCTCGCAGCTTGATAATGCCACTATGGTTTGCTTCTTCGAGCACCATGAAATAGGTGGCTTATTCACAAAGAAGATGTATCCAGAAGTGCTTTTCCGTTCAACCGCGTCTCCCCCATAATCCGAGTCACAATAGCCTATCAGCTCCAGCCCGTCTTTCTTCATGCCAAAAGGAAACAGAATTCCCACAGTACCTTTGATGTACCTCATAATGCGTTTTGCAGCAACCATATGACTCTTCTTGGGTTGGTTCATGAACCTGCTTGCCAACACAAAACATCAGCTCCAGTCTACTGTTACACAAGAACCGTAATGATCCCACCATCTGTTTGTACACAGTCTCATTCACTGCCTCTTCTGCCTCATCTATTCTCAGTTTAACATTTACCTCCAATGGGCTTTTAACAGCATTGCATTGATTCATGTTGAATCTTTCAAGCAACTCTCTCGTATACTTCCACTGGTGCATGATGAGTCACAAATTGGTATGAGTGAATTCCATACCTAAGAAATAACTGAGCTTTCCCATGTCTGTCATTTCAAACTCAGTCTTCATCAGCTCCTTGAACTCTTCTATGTTGTTCAAACTTGAACCAGTCACCAAGAGGTCACCCACATAGAGGCAGATGATCATAACGTTTCCATCTAAACCTGCTTTCACATAAACTCAGTGTTCATCTGTGCACCTTTCAAAACCGTGACTGAGAAGAGATGAATCAATCTTTTTATTCCAGGCTCTGGGTGCCTGTCTTACGCCGTAGAGGGCTTTCTGCAACTTATATACCTTATTCTCCTTATCCCTTTCTTGAATCTAGGGGGCTGAATACCTCTTCTTCCAATAATCCGTGTAGAAACGCTGATTTCACATCCAGCTGAAACATCTTCCATCTCCTAGCACATGTAACTGCAACAACCAGACGTATGGTTTCTAATCGTGCCACAGGAGCGAAAACCTCATCAAAATCAACTCCTTTCTTCTGCAGAAAACCTCTAGCCACAAGTCTCGCTTTATACTTTGAAATGGTGCCATCTGGATTCGGTTTCTTCTTGAAAACCCATTTGACACTAATACACCGCTTCCCAGGTGGAAGGTCTACTAACCTCCACGTGTTATTTTTCTCGATTGAATTGAGCTCCTCCATCATTGCATTCCTCCACACCGATTGCTTCAAGGCTTCGTCTACATCAACCGGTTATGCTCCAGCCATCAGAGCCATGTGAATTAACTCTCCTTCTTCGTTAATCCCTGCATCCGAATACACCTCATAGTCAAAGAATCTAGGCGGCCTCGTCGTCTGTCTCCTAGGTCTCTGAGATGTTTCGTTCAAGTCCTAGTTGCCATCAGAGATTGCCTCAGCTCCTCTTAGTGCATAATCATTTGTTAGTCCATGCAACAAAGTTTTCTTCATGCTCGACTGCATTTGATTCTAGTCCCAACATTCGTTTTCCAAGACAATTACATCTCTATTCAACACCATCCTCTGCCTTATTGGATCATACAATTTGTACGCTCCTGTATCATGGTATCCCATAAACACCATGGGTTCCCCGTTATCCTCTAGCTTAGTTCGCTTCTGCTCCGCTACGTGTGCGTATGCTAACGAGCCAAACACACGTAAATGACTCACAGATGGCTTCATTCCAGTCCAAATCTCCCAGGGCACCTTGCCTTTAACTCTTTTAGTGGGACACCTGTTAAGAATGTAAACAGCTGTCGAGACAGCTTCAGCCCAGAACTTCCGTGGCATCTCCTTCTCCTTGATGAGACATCTAACCATGTTTGTCACCGTTCGATTTCTTCTCTCCACCAGACCATTATGCTGGGGCGTGTAAGGTGCAATCATCTCGTGTTTAATTCCTTCACTTTGACAGAATTCTCCAAATGCCAACGAGGTGTATTCTCCACCTCCGTCAGTTTTGAGAATTTTCAGCACCTTCCTACTCTCCTTTTCTACACCAGCCTTAAATCTCTTGAACATCTCCAAGACTTCACTCTTTGCCTTGATCAAATATACCCATATCATTCTGTTGTGTTCATCAACAAACACAAGAAAATATCTGTTGCCTGCCAATGAGGGAACCTCAATCGGACCACAGACATCAGAATATACAATTTCAAGACATTCCTTTGATCTCTTCCTCAATTGAGACTGAAATGATTTCCTAGTTTGCTTGCCTGTCAAACACGACTCACTTGCATTATCTGGCAAGGAAATATTTGGTATACCTGATACCATACCCTTTTCACCAAGCCTCTGCAAGTCTCTGAAATTCAAATTCCCAAAACGCAGATGCCACAACTAGCTTTCTTCCTTTTTTACAGCAGCCATACATTGCAGACTTTCTACTACCTCCAAACTGACTTGAAAAGTCTTGTTTCTAGAGATCTTGCTCGTCAAAATCAGCTTCTTGTTTCTGTCAAACAATTCCACCCTATCATTGTTTCCCATTATTATAGTGTATCCTCTTTCGACCAACTGTCCAACGCTGAGGAGATTACATTTCATCGCAGGAACGAATAGCACGCTGGAGATTGTAGCTTGTGAACCATTCTTCCTATTAATGATCACATCACCCATTGCTTCAACCATCAATGTGTTTTCGTTTTCAAACTTAACTTTGCTCTTCTTGGTTTCGTCAAAATTCACCAGCCACCTTCTATTACACGTCATATGATTTGAGCAACTAGAGTCCAAGTACCAAATCTTGTTCATTGGATCGAAACACTCAGTAGAGGTCATTACCATCAACGTCAAAGGCTCGGAGTCAGGATCTTCTTGTGCAAGATGAGCTTCTTTAATACGATACTGCTTCTTCTTCTCTGCTTCCCTTTGTCTGAGAAACATTCATACGCAAAGTGTCCGTGACAATTGAAACATTCAATGTTTCTCTTGTCTTTCTTCTTTTGTTGCTTATCAAATTTCCCTTTGCCTTCAACAGACTCATTCTTTTCTTCTTGTTCTTCTGTATTACTACTTTTTTTCCTTCATTTTCCTTTTCCTGATTTCCCTTTCCACTTCTTAGAATTTTTTTTCTCATCGCTCTTGAAATGCTGGACTCTCAGAGCCTGTTCATCAAGTTTGATAGGATTTCTTTCACGCATCCTCATTTCATGTGCCTCCAACGAATTTTGGAGTTCTTCGATCTTTAGTTTTTCAAGATCTCTCGACTCCTCGATTACTACCACAATATGATCAAACTTCTGGGGCAGCAATCTCATAATCTTCTCTATCACCATGAGATCAGTAATCGTTTCACCGCAGCCTTTCATCTGGTTAGCAATTGACAGCACTTTGTTGAAGTATTCACTCACCTTTTCACCATCATCCATCTGCAAGTGCTCATATTGTCTCCTCGGTGTTTGTAGTTTCACCTTCTAATTTTATCTCCCCCAGCATGGCATCTCACCAGTATGCCCCAAGCCTCACTCGCCGTGGCTGCATTTTGAATCGTCTCAACCACACCCTTCAGCCACCGCATTGTTATCGTTAAGAAAGGTTTGAAGACGCACACTCCCAGTCTCTGTAATCTACGCTCTGGATACCACTATTGAAACAGAGAACGAAGGTAAAGAAAAAACACACACGAAATAGAATGAGTGAGAAAAATCTATGTTGTTATTAATAAATGAAAAACCAAAACTTATATACAAGAGGTATTTACTGATAGAACAGTAACAGTATAACAGAATAAACGGTCAAACAATGAGTTTCAACACCAATAACAACACAATGTCATAATAATGTAATGATATATATCATAATTGTTGTAATCCATGAGAAAAACCACTGTTTCATCACGAACTTTAATACACTTTGAAAGTATAATTTTATCTTCAAAGTTTTTATTGAGTTTTAAAATCGAAAATTCAAAATATAAATTATGTATTTTAAAATATAAAATAAAATATACATTTCAAATATAAAATTTGTATTCAAGCATACATGATTCAAAATAAAAAATAAAAAATATATTTCAAAACATACCATTCAAAATACTAAAAATAAAATACATTCCAGATCACAATATTGAAGGAAAAACGGAATATTATTGTGTGAGATGATAACTATGAGAAAAGTAATTTAATAAAGAGAGAGAGAGAGAGAAAAATGTAGAGGTTGGACATGGTGGTGGTGGCATTGACGTGGCAACCACAAGCAATGTGAAGCAAGATTTGTCAAGAATTGGTAGCAAGAATGATAAGGTGGCAACCTTTGTTTGTGTGTGTGTATATATATATAAAAAGAGAAATAATAATTTAATATAATTTTTTTAGATTATTTGATATTATCGTTTTTTTAAAATACTTCTTTCATAACTTTTATATTTACAATATATGTTAAATAAATATAAATGTACCATATCATTATTTTATCATGGAAAAACAACTTTTTATCATTATTATAGGCGGGTTATTAAATATTTTACTACTTATTGGATAAAAAACAATCATATTATTACATTTCTTTTAAAAAAACATTGAGAAACCTGATTGAAATTTTTATCAACCACATAATCAAATTAAATAAAATTAATAAATATATATTTTTCTTATAATGTATTTAAAATTTCCCTTCTTTCTTAATGTAAATACAAATATAAATTCGATTACTCTTTCTTTTTATCTTTCTCTTTTTTGAAGCCAACATGGGTTGGTGATTATCAATTTCCTACATCACATATAAGTAAGGTGAACTATTATGGCGGCTATCGTTATTACATTTTGGTTAGAATGTCTCTTTCAACTTGTTCTTGATTCATTCATAATTTTGATTCACATGGCTAATAGAGCTGATGAACTTTTACATTAATGGTAACAGAATAGTGCTAAGTACTGATAACTTTTTGTTCTCTCCACCTTCTCTTCCATCCTTAGTTTCAGGCACATTTGTATGGTGCTAGAAATCTGTGTGCAGGATCACAAAGAAAGTGAAAAAAACTTCAACATTCAAAGTCTTCATGCAAAGTAGATCATGGCTTCTAGAATTCTTTCCACTCTGCAGAATGTGTCTTCTTCTTCTTCTTTTGTCTCAACCACTAAACGTTGCTTAGGTATACTACTATCTCTCCTTTTTATAATGTGCACATTTTGAGTCAAAAAACTGAAATAATGAAAACCACCCTGTTGTCTTTATAAATTGCATCGGAGAAAAGAATTTAAAACATGAAAGAAAGTTTTGATTTTTGAACTTTTTTTCCCTTTTGGTTTTTATACTATTGACTAAATTTCCAGGCCTATGTTGTCTCCGGCATAGAAGTTTAAGTGGAACTGGTGCTTCTGCTGCTGCTGATATAGAGCCTAGCAAACCACCAGTGCAAATTGAGCATAATCAGCTTCTGATCGATGGACTGTTTGTTGATGCAGCTTCTGGTTAATATCTTACATTTATGTACTTAAAACATTGTTGTTTCATTGATATGAAAACATCCATCTATGCTACAAAAACTTAACTTTTAGCAAATTTTCATCTGTTAGGAAAAACTTTTCCAACCAATGATCCTAGGACTGGAGATACAATTGCCAATGTAGCCGAAGCGGATGTTGAAGATGTAAATCGTGCTGTACGTGCTGCTCGCAAGGCTTTTGATGAGGGACCATGGCCAAAAATGACAGCTTATGTAATACATCATTGTTTAATCCTAATTTATTCTGTAAATTTCAGTATATGGAAGTGTTTTGGTGCTGTAACTTTTCCTTTGGGCTACAAGAATGCTACATGGTTTTTATGTGCAACAATTTTGTCCATTATCTTTGATGAACTCCTCTAGGAAAGATCACAAATAATTTTTCGTTGTGCTGATATATTGGAGAAACACAATGATGAAGTTGCAGCAATTGAAACATGGGATAATGGTAAGCCTTATGAACAGGCTGCAAATGTTGAAATACCTATGGTGGTACGCTTGTTCCGATATTATGCAGGTAACTGTATTATCTTTGAGTTTTTATATCATGTAGTTATAGTATTGTTTGACAAGCTGACATTCTTTGGTATCTTTTATGTTTTCTTCAGGTTGGGCGGATAAAATTCATGGTTTAACAGTTCCAGCTGATGAGCCATACCATGTTCAAACCTTGCATGAACCTATTGGAGTAGCAGGGCAGATTGTTCCTTGGAATTTCCCACTTCTTATTTTTTCATGGAAGGTTGCACCTGCATTAGCTTGTGGTAATACAGTTGTAATGAAAACTGCAGAACAGACACCCCTTTCTGCCATTTATGTGTCAAAGCTATTTCATGAGGTAGTCTTACAGCACACCTATAAGTCTTACAGCCAAAATAATATCAAGAGAAAAAAAAGGATAACTCTTCCTTTTAAAGAGAATGTGAACAAGTCTTCAATCTTGTTCTCAAGGAAATTATAGCTTCAATTTGAAATGAACAAAAAAATGAAATTCCAAAATTGCTAACAACAAAAAGATTGTGATGTTCTCTGTGCTTATACTTTTGTGATTGTTCTCACTGATGGATTTGATGCAATAGGCAGGACTTCCTCCTGGAGTTCTGAATGTTATCAGTGGCTTTGGTCCTACTGCTGGGGCAGCTCTGTGTACTCATATGGATGTTGACAAGGTACTTTAGAACATTTAGTGGAATGATTCTCCTGAAACTTTAAAAAAAAAAAGAAAAAGGTATAAGGTGTTTAAGTATCTTATGATTTGATTAACATTGGTTACAGTTCCTTAACTTCAAAAATGATAGTTTTAGTCCTTGTATTTATGAAAGGGTGATGAACAAAAAACCCCATTTTCTACTCAACACCTTGTAAAACTTTCCTCTATGAAATGTGGTGAATTTTATTAGTGGTTCAATCAAAATAAATTATAGAATTAGGGAATAAATCCACTACATTTTAGAATCATGAGAACCAAAACCATTGTTTATAGTAAGAACTAAAACCAATTTTTACCAGATCTTTAGGACTTGTAAAACACATTTTAATATATAGCTTACTCTGCTGATTGTCTCTACAATACATATATGCATCAGTTTATGCCTATATGGCCTAATATCTAATAGTAAAATAAAAATTGGTTGATTTTGTTTTTGTAGCTTGCTTTCACAGGATCCTCTCAGACCGGTAGACGGGTATTAGAACTCTCAGCACGCAGTAACCTGAAGCCTGTAACTCTGGAGCTGGGTGGAAAATCTCCATTCATTGTCTGCAAGGATGCTGATATCGATGCAGCTGTTGAGGCAGCACATTCTGCATTATTCTTTAATCAGGTTTGATTATCCTAATTTCATTATTAGGAACGGTAACAACACAATCTACTTCAAATAAAGTTTGCAGTTTTAAATAAATTTTAACCAATGGTAAAGAGGATCTTCAAAATAGTATTTGAAATAATGTATTGCTAGCATTTCTCTTATCTTATGTTATAGTTCACAGTGAGAACATAGCCTTCTCCATTTCTTTTATTGCATATGTTCCAATATGGTTCAAGCTGTTTTCTTTTGCTTCTGCATAGGGGCAATGTTGTTGTGCTGGTTCTCGTACATTTGTTCATGAAAGCATATATGATGAATTTGTGGAAAAGGCTAAAGCTCGTGCTACTAAACGTGTTGTTGGAGACCCTTTCAAAAGTGGGGTTGAGCAAGGTCCTCAGGTATCTATGAAACTTTCCGAATGAACCGTCAATCTAAGAGAAAACTTGGTTCAAACAAGAATAACTGCATAAGTTTTTTCAATAACTTAGGTATAAGTAAAAGAAACCATGCTTTTGCAATTGCTCATTCATAATCAAATCAACAGAAATCTTGATTTAGTTTTCTTCAACTTATGGCTGGCATCTTAAAGGGTGATGACATTGATAGTTGTATGTGTTTCAGATTGATTTTGCACAATTCGAGAAGATCATGAAATACATAAGATCAGGCATTGAAAGTGGTGCTAAACTGGAATCTGGTGGTCAAAGAGTTGGCTCGAAAGGCTACTACATCGAACCAACTGTTTTCTCAAATGTTCAGGCATGACACTTCGAATTAACAATGGTTCAATTTCTAAATAAGTGATAAATTGTTCCAATAGTGAAGTAAATAGCTTTCTTTCTTAATATTATAGGACGACATGTTGATAGCAAAAGATGAGATATTCGGTCCGGTACAATCTATCCTGAAATTCAAGTATGCTATTAGTCACTAGATAAAAGTGTCATCATGTATGTGCTTTGCACATTCTTCAGTAGTTCCTCATCTTAAATTCCTCTTATTCTGTGCTATGAAATAAATCACAGGGATCTAGAGGAGGTGATAAGAAGGGCCAATGCAACTCATTATGGCCTGGCTGCTGGAGTTTATACTCAGAATACAGACACTGCCAATACCTTGATGCGGGCATTGCGAGTTGGAACAGTATGGATCAACTGCTATGATGTCTTTGATGCAGCAATACCTTTTGGTGGATATAAAATGAGTGGTCAAGGGAGAGTAAGGGGAATCTACAGCCTTAGAAGCTACCTTCAAGTTAAAGCTTCTGTCACTCCTTTGAAGAATCCTGCATGGCTCTAGTTTTCCACTACCTAAGTGTTTTTGTTCATGATGTCTTGTCTAAGAAAAAGAACCAGCATTGCATCTTTCATGGAGCATTCCTAAGGCATTGAATTTGCCAAAGTATTCATAATGCCATTGTCTTCTAGAAGTGATCATTAGCTAACTGTGAAAATGGTATTGTATTGAATGAAATGATTCTCTTACCTATTACACCCCTTCACTTAATCCTATACTTATAGGAGTAAGTGAGTGGTACACACCTCACACACACTCACATACAGCACACTCACAACTCACATCTAAATACAAATACAATAATTCTAACACTAACTAAAGACTAAAACTTCAATGAAATATTAGTTTTTTTTATGGAAGCTGAAATAGATGCAGAAAAGAGACTTTGATTGCCTCCTTTTGAGCATTGGATTGGTCAATAGCCTATACAATCATTTCATGTAAAATCAGACTATTGGAATATATTGTAGATTGCCATTATAAGAGTTTGAGAAACAGTGATTTGTCCGTTATTATAGCACCTCATGAAAAGCTTCTTAGAAACATTAAAAAAAAAAAACAAGTAATTAACATCCCCTTTTACTTTTGTGTGCCATAAGCATTGTGGCCGGCCAGTGAAAATCTGAAGTCATTTAAGAAATAGAGTGTTACCATTTCTCACCCTTTTCACTTGCCATGAGCATTGAACACTAGATTATTGAAAGAGTGTAATTCAATGGTGGTTTTATCCCTCTAATTTATATTACATGGAATTTTATAACATGCACGTACCTATGTAAAAAAAAGAACAAATTATTTAAAGTTATATTAAAAAAATTCCAATCAGTTGATTGTATAAATCATTTATTAGTGTTTACTTTTTTATATGCAGACACAGCGACAACCAATACACAGTTGATTCAAATTACTGATTACACCCTCTAATGTTTACATAGCCTACGTGTTCGACTAAATGCTTCAACAAGTTCTGTTGTCACTTATCTCCTCTCTTAACATAGGCTAGGTGTTTGACTAAAAGCTTCAGTTCAGTGTGCTCCAAATTAGGCTGGACAGAGAAATCAGAACTAAATCGAGCTTCAATAGGCTGGGAGCTGGAAACGAGAAACTGAATTGGTTAGATCACCATTTGTCTAATTGAAATGTGTTGATGAGTTTAGAATTTGCAAAGATACATTGAAGATAATGGACGCAGGACTATGGTTTGGAATTTCTTTAGCTTATCTCCCCTTACTGCAAAATACCGAAAGATTACAACTTCTGAAATACCCACATGATTGGTGCTCAAGTGTGTCAAATATATTTGTTCATCATTAGCTCAAGTGTGTCAAATATATTTGTTCTTCATCAGCTCTTCATCCTGAACATTCTGTTAACCGTGATCGTAGTGTCAATTCAGACTCTTTTTATGCGTCTCTTATTGATAATTCTACCCACAAGAGACACCTTGATCAGATACATAACCAGTTACTTGTCTCTGGGCTGAAACATAATGGGTTTCAGTAAGCAAGATTTCCAGTAGGTGCAAGTTCAGGATGCATGCTGCCTGTATCTAAAACTTCATATGACTGCCTATTAGCTGCAGAAGAAACCGTATACCCCTTATCCAGGACACCATCAACAATTGCAACATGGCATTTTTACCCCCTTTCAATCATAGTATGAATAAAACAAAAACCATCCATAGAGGAGAATCACTCTTCCATTGAGGGGAAGGTATGTGCCCTATGACTGCCGAAAGCACTTGCTCAAGAACCTCTACAGTTTTAACAGATGTTAGCAACAAAGCAAACCTTCCCCTGAGCAGCATTACAACCAAAAGCAAACCGAGACAAACTGCCAGTGACCTTGACACTTCATGACTAAAGTTCACATGCCCATGTATGTCAATAAAATTCAGGGAAATTTTCGTGACTCCTTTCTATAAATACAATCATCACCATCTGTGCTTATAGAACACTGTCTGTTTGGACCTTAACTGTGATTTCCCTTTCCATCTCCACCTAACTTCACCAACTAAGCTGTCAAAATATTATTCATGACTTTGATCAACAAATTGGAGGACTTTTACTTAATCAATATACTATGATCGTTAAATTGTAATTCAGAGAAATAACATGTTAGTACAAAAGAAAAATCCATCAAAATCAGGGCGGCAATAGTTGTTGTATTTTAGACTAAATGATGCTACGTTATAACCCTAGAGGTAAAAATACCAGTAGTGTTTCCTCTAGACGGTGGTAAGACACTCTGCAATTTTTTAATCATCTGGTCAAGCTCCTTCAACTTGTCCATGTCACCCGCCTGCAACAAAAACCTCTCCAGCATCAGAAATGATGCACTACTCATGTGTCTTCCTCTCTCCAACATTTGTTTGGAGCACTCAAAAGCATCATGCACCAAACCCCTTGCACACAATCCAGTGACCAGAAGATCTAAAGCATGAGCATGGGGACAGTACCCTTTCTCCACCAGGTACTTCCACAGACCTACACTTAAATCAAGCTGATAATTTTGACAGAAAAACTTCATCAGCATTACAATTGTCCTTGTTTTTGGAACAAAACCCCTTTGAGTCATCTTCTGGTAAAGCTCACTCACACCTTCAATCCCTCTTGACCTCATCAATCCTAAGAACATTGTATGGTAAGTGACACCATCTAGCTCGATGTGTTTTTCAGCCATCTCATCCACCAAGGACAAAGCAGATTCAATTTCTCTGTTTCTAACCAAAGCAGTAACCAAAGCATTATAAGCGCCAGTGTCGGCAACCAAGTTTCTTGAAGGAATCTCACTAAACAGCTGCCACGCCTTGCCTATATTTCGAACCAACCCTGCTCCATGAATCAAAGTAGTTATAGTTTCAATGGTAGGGACAATATCTCTCCCCTCCATCTCCTCCAGAAGTCTCAAAGCATCAACAAAACAACCTTTCTTGCAGTAAGCATCAATCCTAACATTAAATGTCACTCCATCCGGACTAAAACCACGCTTAACCATTTCATGATAGAAAAGCTCAACAGAAGTAACATCACCTGATTCTTTGAACCCCAGGAGAAGAATATTCATGGACTTGGTATTAGGAGTAAACCGTGGCACAAGCTTCGCAAACACAGACCTGGCTTCCTTCATCTGCCTCTGTGTACAAAATGCTTTAAGAAGCACATTGAACTCTTCGGTGCCAAATTCCCTGCCAACAAACACTTCATCTTCCATCCTTCTAAACCCATCAAGGGTGTCTTCAAAGGATTGGAATTTGGCGATTTTTGAGAGCACAATGCTCATTGACTTAAGGGTGAGCAAAGAAGGGTGGCTTCTTGCAATGTCCCTCAACAGGACCCAAGTTTTGTCAAAATAACGCATCCGTGCAAGGATGTGGAGGGTCATGTTGAGTGAATCAGGACTTAAGGGCAAATGGGAATGGATGAGGCAGTAGTTGAAGAATTCCAAGGCCTTGAGACCATTGGAATGTGCAGCAAACAGCCGGCCGAGGACGTTTTCCACAAGGGAAGTAGAGAAAGAGGAAGGAGGGAGGAGGTGGAGGAGTGTAGGGTGAAGGGGTTGCAATGGGAAAGGGTGGTCGTTGATGATTCTGGTGAGTGTGTCAACATCAACTTTGAGCTGTGAACATGACTCGGGACTGCCAATAGGATTTTGTGAAAATGTATGTGACTCCTTTCCAACACTACAATCATCACCATTTCTGCTACGCTTATAGAACATTCTTGTTGACTTTGCTTTAACCATGATTCCCCTTACTCTCTCAACCTGAGCAACACAAGAAAAAAAGAAAATCCAAGAAATTTAACATAATTTTTGAAGAAAAAACTTATTTGTCATAGCTTTTACAAGTAAGTTCATCCATAAACTAATTTTCATTTGATTGGTAGAAAAGTTGATTTCACTCTAATCCTTATTTACTTCTCCAAAAGTTAATTTTAACCATTTGAATACTACACTAAAATTTTAAATTTATTTTCATCGTTTCATTCTACGTCATAATGAACATAACACTTTTTGAACCGTAAGCAATTTTGAACAACACCCATTTCATCTAACATAGCGAAAGCCCTTGCCCAAATGAGAAAAATGAAAACTTTCAGCAAGAGTACCTGAGACTCATCAAGATAGTGAGGGTGTCCATGGCCTTTCCTTTGAATGGAGTTGCCATGATTAAATTGTGCAGCCGAGAAGCTTCTTACGAGCTCTGGGGGATACTGCTTCAAATCTATGGAGTTTTTCCCTCTGGTGCTGTTTAGGAGTGAAAAGCGATAAGGGGTTAAAGGATTGAAATTGAAATTGCAGAAGAACCGTAGATAATTCGATAGCTTCAAGCTCTTGGAAGCCATTTCACAATCATGGAGAATATGTAACTTCGGGTTACATTTGGATGGATGGTTTCAACCCGGGTCAATGTGACAGATTCTTTGAAAAAAAAAACTATTTAAAAAAAAGTTGTTGGACTTAAAGTGAGGCCCAACCCACTAACTTGTAGTCCTGTCTATGAAATGGCAAGAGAAAGGAAACCTGAGAGCAGTGGTAGCAGGGGAGAAGGTCGAAACGCAAAATCACCTGAGAAAGACACCAATATAGATCTGTTCCTGCGATAGAAGAACTCAACATCAACACCCCAAAAGCACATAAAGTTGCAAGAGAGAAACAGTGACCTCGGAATTGTTACCAAGGTGCGTTCTGCATAAATCATGACCTAGAAACAAACAATTCCACTGTCTTGTTTGCATTGTTGTTGCGTAGTGTCCAACTGAGCTCGCTGAATCCACTATAAACTCGCGATTCTATACGAGTTTGAGCGAGTTTGCTCGAATTCACACGACCCAACTGAAAAAAGATTCTACTTGCGAATTAACTAGGTTCGAGGGTGTGGGAACTTTTAAGTCGTCGAGTTTAAGAGTTTTATTGAAGACTCAAAATTTAAGAATTTGTATTCAGTTAATGTGTTAAATTTATCATTTTTACCGTTTTTAAGGTAGACTCATCTCGGATTCAGCGGTTATAGCTTTCAACGACAGTTCGTTACTAGGCATGAGAATGGGAGAAAAGGGTTACCTCGGATTCAAAGGTTATAGCTTTCATCTACTTATCAGTATTTATCAAATGATGATAAATATGAGATTTAATTAGAAAAGAATTTATAAGTTGGAAGCATAGTGATAATAATGTTCAGTAAATATTAAAAGAAATAGTGGTTACGAATATTAAACAAATTTTACCTTTTTTTTGTAGGAATTTGAGGCAAAAATGAGAGTGATTCAGAAGTTTTTCGTTGCATCAATGTTGATGTGGGCAATCCCCATTGCAATATTGTATGCTTTCAATCACAACATGCTTCCTGGTAAGATTCTAATGTACTTAAGCTTTTTATAGGTTATTGTTGTTGTTTTGAAGAGTTGTTGGTTGGTACTGTGATATGGATGCTTTATATCTTCTATCTTTCAGCTTGACTGGTAGAATTAGTGAAATTCATTTTAAGGGCAAATGTAAGAGTTTCTTAATATTTCAAGCCAACTTTTTGTTAGTTTTTTTTTTCTGCTTTCTTGTTGAAGAGATGGTCTTGTACTTTCTCTGTTTTTTGTGAGTAAATAGTGCATGCAATCACATTGCTCAGCGCCATCCAATCACAAACTGTCATGTATGATTTTTTTCGTTGGCTTTAACAATAATTATCTCAAAAGTAGTTTCTACCATGCTTTTTTGTTGATGCGTAAAAGAAAAAAGATCATCGGGTCTTCCACAGAAATTAAACTCTTTTATCATTGTCAAAAACTAAAATTAGAATATCGGACCTTGTTTAGTTACTATTTTCGAAAATGGTTATTGTTTTCTATAATTTGTTTGTCCCTGATTTCAGTTGGAAGTGTTTTGTCTTTTTAGCACGGTTCTGTTTTCTAAAAGTTTGTCCTCTGACTACTTTAATAGAGCACTTGAAGAAAATAGAAGATGATGAAACAACATCTCCAAGCTGCTTCTGTTTTTATCTTTGAAACACTTGTTTTGGAAAAAAAATTTGAAACATAGTAGGTTTTGGCTGAGAAATTGATTGCTGAGTAGTGAGCAGTGTAGATTTTTTTTTTAAAATAGAGTTTTTAAAACAAGAAAGTGAAAAGAGAATAAAAAATACCCTTGATCTCTTTACCGACCACTGATTATTTTGAAGGAAATTTATTGCTTCTCGGGCAGTGACTGACATTGAATTTACCTTTTTCAAATCGTCTAGAAAGTATTGTCTCTATACATATATAGCTAGCCTGTAAGGAAATGTGCAGTTTTGCCCATATGGTATAGTATATGTATTAATGGAATGTTTCATCCCTGTTCTCAACAATCTTATCATTTTTCATTTAATTTAATTTTCATATACTGTCAGTAGTATAAAGATATTTAGAGTTTCATTAGCCAATTAGAAACCAACTTAGATATGTGAATTTGAAGTTAATTAAACTCAATAGTCTTACAATATACATCAGTCTATGTTGACATGACAATGTAAAACCTTTACACTGACACTGCATTCTGATTTTATTCTTTTCATTTCATTCCTTTAATGTTTCCCAACCGGTTGTGAATAAAACCCAATAGAAAAATAGAATGGAAATTGCAGAACTACCACCTTAACCTTACTGTGTTTCCTTGTTTGTAACAGGAGCATCCAATTTGTCCCCTTACTCTGGGACACTAGTGAGTGGATTTCTTGCTGTCATATCTGTCAATGTAATCATAGCATTTTACATATATTTGGCAATGAGAGAACCTGCAGATAAACACGAACCTGACCCGAAATTTGTTGCTGAGGCCAAAGCTAGCATTAATCAGCCGACAGGGGATGCTCAGCAATCTTCCCAGGCTGTCAAAAAAGAACAGTAGATGATGATGTTTCGAGACCCCTTTGTTTCTACTCACAAGTTGTTCATCTTGGAGAGGAGAAGGAAGAACGGGGATGAAGGGAGAAGGTCCTGAATCGTGTGCCAATCATGCTTATGTTAATAAGTTTGCACATTCATGTTTTCATGTGTTAGTTTCTTAGCGTTTTACATATACACATTCAAAGTTCCTTTCAGTTAAGAATGTTTTAGACGGTTTTGTATCCATTTGACCATTGTGTTTTCAATGCATTGGAGAAAGTTATTTTACGTTTGATTTATCTGCAACATAAAGATAAATGAACTACACTTCCCATATTGCATGTGTTAAATTGTCACTACAAGAAAATTGTAGCGCAGTTGTAAATTAAGTAGTATTTTGGTGAAAATTAATAACAAATTTTATAATTTGGGATGTGATTTGAGATAAAGGAAATGTATTCTATCAGAGAAGTGTCAAGTGAAAAACATTAATCAACTAATGTTGTGTTTGCTCTCTGCCCAAAATATAATATTATCAATGTTAGTGGCATTATTCTTCAATCAAAATTAAGCTACCATTCAATCTTGGTACTTATTGGCTATTTTAATTGTTAAAAGAGTTACTAAAATGTATTGTCTCTGAATGGCAGTATCATTTAAAGAGTAGGAACTGAAATTAATTTCATTGAAGAAGTTCTACATCAGTCAAGTGTTTATTATTTAATAATCTATCAAGCAATTAACGAAGTACTTGTGATTCAAAAGGGACAATGAAAGCAAATGAGATCACAACTAAATGGAGCAAAAATCATAATAATTATGATAATACTAGAAGACTAGTTGTTCATCATTCAAATATCTCAACAATATTCATTTTTTGAGCTACCTTCACACAGCTTCAAATTCTTCAGCATGAAGCAAAGTGGTAGCTGATATCTGATTTCTGTTTAATCTGTTCTTGGTGTTCTCTAGATTCTACTCCTCTCTGACCAAGTTATGACTTCCTAATGTTGGATTTTCCACGATAACATTTGTTGATGTACCATTTTCTAGGCTTTCTCTCAGCTGTACCAAGACCACCATATTGTCATGTTGCTGACTTCTTGTGGCAGTTTGGCCCTCCCTAGACACACTATTTGGTGCTACCAAGTAGTCACTGTTACCTATAACTTGGTTTTCACTGTGAGAATGAGCATTAGACCTGCAAGTTGGGCATAAGGATGTCTTAAGAAGCCATGTGTCCACACATTGAGCATGAAAACTGTGCTTGCACATAGGCAACAACCTGCACTTATCTCCAGTGATGAGGCTCTCCAAGCAAACTGCACAATCCACAGGGCTGCTTGTGTTGCCTTTGGCAACATAATCATAACATGGGAGCTTCTCCAACTCATCTATGGACATGCTTCTTCCCCCATTTGCACCCCTCTCAACCATAGATCCTCTCCTAGAGAGTCTCTCCGAAATACAGACATGAAATATGATCAGGACCACAAATCCCACAAATATTAGCACCACTGTTATAATAACTGTCATTATCACACTCTAATGCTTAAATGGAAATCTCAGAGCTTTTTGCAGAGACTACTAGTATTCTCCACAGAAAACAATCTTGCTGGAACTAGGTAGGATCAGAATGTATGATAAAACTCTCCCACTGAATATCTGACAGTTGCATATTGAAGACTCAAATTCAGAAACAACAGATTAAGTTGGAACAATTCCATAATTGATCCATGCATTCGTTGTAAAAACTGAAAAATTTTCTGAACATGGATTCATGATGTTATACATTGTACGCTAAATAACATTGACAACATTCTATTGAATCCATTTCCTATGTATGCATGTGTCAAACAAATGCTGAGCAAGCTGATGCATATGCCATGAAAAGTAGAATTGCAGCACAAGAAAAAGTGAGGTGGTTTTGTCATAGAAACACAAGTTTCTTTGTTTGATGAAGTTGAGAATTTGATTTATAAGAAGTTAAGGACATAGTTGAACATCATCAATCAACATGGTTTTTTTGTTTTTTTCCCTTTTGATTTGTCTTTTGTGTATTAGGTGAGTGTGGAATGTTGATGGAGTGGGTGAGAAAGTAAGCAGTTTTTACAAGTGGACACAAAAAATCACGGTTAGCTTGCCCTTTCAGCCTTTTCCTCTTTATCCTCTTTCCCTTTTTCTCTTTACTTTCTCTTTTTCTTTCTCTGTATTTGCCTTTGCCACTATGTACCACCTTTTTCCTATTACAATGAGACACGGGATGATACTTAAAAGGAAATTACTTCATTCAAAAATATATATAAACAGTTAATTAATTCAACTACTAAATTTTTAAGTGTGAATTAATTAAATTTTTATTTTTTGTTGTTTAATTTGTGTTGTCTATATGGCTGCAAAATATATGAAAAATGATATTTTAACACGTACAAATATTTTATATTCATTTCACATTATTCTTTTGTATTTTTTTATTTTTAAAAAAATACAAAAATTTACTTTTTTATAATTATTTTATTTTTATACTGTATCTCAAATAAATGTAAAAATATGTTATTTGTTTCTCAAAATATATTAACATTTATTTTTCATGTTTTAAAATATATTAAAAGAATTATAATATAACAATGTATTTTTAATATACTAAAAAATTTAGTAGAGAATCTAGACTCAAATTAATTAGTGTATTTTTGAGTGACTAATAATAATTAGTTTTATTGACTTATGTTGGAATGACTACTTGTTTACCTATCTTAATAAAAAATAAAATATTGATGTAAATAAAATTATTTTTTTGGTTACAAGAGTCAACATTATTCAGTCAGCAGTCATATAAATTATGTTTTGGTTGATGTTATTGAGATTATTTATCTATAAGTCAAAGTTATTTTTTGAATTGATAGATTTTTCTCAACTAATATCAATAAAACTATTTTTGGATATATATCAATCAGGTTCTTTTGTTGAAGTGTTACATTGTTATTTTTTTTTTATGTCTACAGTATTAAAGTAATAGCTTTTGTATTTCATGATAATTGAAATATTTTATGAAAAAAAAAAACTGAATTATCTTGTCTAAATAAAACATTAAAAAATAAAAAATTAGAAAAACTAAATAACTTGAAATGAAAGAAATTCAAATTTAATGAATTTGAATCTCTTCAAAATTTTAAAAAAGTTCTATTTAGTTGAAAGATCTTTACGACTCAAAATAATTAATACATAAAAAATTATTCATAAATTATTTTTATAAAGGGAACTAGCCTTTATAATAGACTTGGCTTATGTAACTTTGAAGGGTCTAGTATTATTTTCCCAATTTTAGTTTATATTTTAAAAAAATTCCCTAAAAAAGATAAATCTCATATGTTTTAGATGCACAAAAATCCCATTTCCTTTAAGAAATAAAAAATAAGAATAGTTTATTGATATTTCTCATCGTGATCATCTATACGCATTTTGTCAACAGGTACACAGTGTTTTTCATGCCTTTTCTTCATGCACATCATAATTTCTAATTACACTCCCATAATTTTCAAAATGACTATTTTATCTTTCATAAAAGTAATTTTTGGATTATTTATTTATGAGAATCTTTAAGAGTAAAATTTTCAGAATTTTTAGAACATGATTTCCAGAATAAAACAGAGTTCTCTTTACTGCAGGGACACCAACTATAACAATGATGTTGTAACAAGGGTGCAGTTAGTAACAGTAGAGATCAAAAGGAGAAAGCCCAACAATCTAACCAATGTAGGTATGAGTCTCACTTACAAGGTAAAAGAAAACATTTTATGTTCATTCTATTAGCACCACTTAATTGCTATTAAAACCCTTAAGATAACAAAATTATCTATATTTTTGTAATATTATATTTTTACGTTTTTTTTCTTTCACTTGACACTTTTTTTCAAAATTTAACCCTTTTTTTATTTAATCTTTTTTCAAAAAAAAATTAACCATTTTTTAAATTAATAAATAAATATTATCTAAAAAGTAAATAAACTTGTAAGAACTATTTATATTTATAATTTTTTTATTTTTTATTATAAAAATTGAACAGACATCCACTATTATAACTTTTATTTTATTGAAGTATGATTATTTATCTTTGTTCTATGAAAAAAAAATTAAGTCTTTATTATTGTGATTTTAATCCTTCTAATATATCAATTTATTTTAATGTCTCTTACGATAAATTTTTTTTATTAGTGCATTTGGACAAAATATACAACAGAAAACAAGTTTTTGTTATATACAAAAAGTAATATTACATCATTTTGAAAAAAATATATAATTATGTGATTAAGTACTTATGTGTTTTAAAAAAACTTATTGAAGATAATTTTTCTGTTAATAGAATCTTCGTAGACACTATTAATATTTTTAATAACAAAATATAAAAAGTGTGAAACACAAAAATATATAAAAAAAATATAGGGTTAATTATGTTTTTGTCCTAAATTATTAAAGTGTATTTTTTTTTGTTTTAGTCTACCTAGATCCTTTTCCTTTTTTAAACTCATGGATTTATAGTCTTCCATGATTAAAATAGTTTGTGTTTTTTTATTACATGACAAACGGTGTGTTACGTTCTCAACCCATTTAAGACATGTGTAAGGTTAGAATTGGGATGTGAAAAATAAAATTGATCAATTCAAAGTAGTTAGAATGTGAATTGGTCTGCATAAATATTAGAAATCATCGATAAATGGGTTCAACGGGTTGGAAACTTAACACACCATTTATCATGTAAAAAAAGTCATTAACGACATTAGTCATGAAAGACTAAATCCATGAGTTTTAAAATGAGAGATCTAGGTAAAACAAAGTTTAAAAGAAAGACTAAAACCAATAATTCTTAATAGTTTAGAGAAAAAAAACATAATTAACCCAAAAATATAATATAAAAAATTTGTTAACTATATGTATGTTTAATATTGTATTCACCTTGTATATTTATTTTAAAAGGGTTCTTAATTACCACTATTATTTTCCTCTTATATTGATAATAACATTAAAAATATAATGAATTCTTTTGACGTTAATGATTAGTATATTCAATCAAATATTGAATTATTGGAATCTTACTCGAATGGAATCTTTAATAAGATTTTTTCATGAAACTTTCCTTATTTTCTAATCAAATCAAAATAGTCTAAAACGACCATGTCTATGTATTAAGAAAATAATTCTAAAATATAACTAATTGTTGTGCATTATTTTAACAAAGTACTAAAAATATTATTACCGAGAGTTTTTCATAATAGTTTTTTTTAATAAAACCATTAATTTAATATAGATGTCACAAAAAAGGGTGTTACTTAAAATTGAAAAAAAAAATCAACTTTAAGAATATATGTTTAGAAGATGTATATTAAAATTGTGAAGATCTAGAAATTGAATATTTAAGTTATAGAGAGTTTAATAAAATGATACTTAACTATTTTATTAAAAGTTAAGTTATAAATAAATGTTTCTCTTATCGAGTTCATTTTATAAAACTTTACTATTTTTCTAAAAATTCTTATTTTCTTGCATTTTCTATAAGAGATAATTCATCATTCATTTGTTATTTAATCAAAGATCACTATTGTTCACTATAGAGAATCCTACAACTTTATTTGATCATAATAGTGAATAGAATAAGTTTTTTTTTTCTATCCTTGTATAGAGTAAAATATGTCATTTTCCTTGCATGTGGCTCAATTATACTCGAATTGATTCCCTACCTGTATGTGATCTTTGTGGTATGTTGAGATCATTGATATGATGCTCCTTTGTGTAGATAAAACTACCTATAGGGAGAGTTTTTGAAGGAGTACTTTGAGAACTCTAGGAGTATCAATTAAGGTAAGGGAAGGTAACATCTAGTTTAATTGTAATCTTGTGTGAATTGTTAAACTTGCTTTGTGAAGTTAGGTATTGCATGCAAATCAAGTTAGTAGAGTGGGATTGTGGGATTGATTGATAATTATTTTGAATTGAATGAGTATATCAGAGAATAAATAATTGAATTGATCTCTGGATTAATTGAATTAAATTGTTGAAATTGTGTAATTTGATTTTATATGGCAGGATACTCAACTTGGTTTGTTTATTGACGAAATTTAAACTATAAACTAACAAATAAATGAAGCGAAGGATGAAGCTAGACACTCCAATTTTGTATCTTAGTATAGAAAAATCAAATAATGTGAGTATTTTGATGCAACGTTGGACACCATATTAGTATTGTCATACATTACATTTAAAATTCCAAAGTTAATGGACTCCAATAGAGAGAATATCATGCACTCTCTAAACAACAATATCTAATGGTCCTAGGTGTTGGTCACCATGTTGAGCCGTTGGACATTACCCCGTTTCATTATGACCATAATGTACAACCGTTAGTATGATTTATATAATTATATGTACGATATTTTATTACGGTGGCCATAATGGAGGAATAGTAGTATGCTTTTAATTAGTTTAGCTTATTCCACTTTTTATGTCTATTGTCAAGATGTTATCATTATATTAATGATAATGTGATTCATGTAAGTAGATGATGATGCAGGAGTCGATAGGAAACAACACTAATGTTGCCAAGAACATCTAGTGATCAGAATAGCTACAAGGATAAATGTAGGGAAATGAATTTTGTATCAATGTTAAATTTTTCTTATGTTTTGAAATATTGTGTTTTGAAAAACTTTTAAGATGAAAGACTATACATAATATGTTTCTATATCATTCTATAGTTGTGTTTTAATAACTTAAATGAAAGAACATGATTGGTACTTTTAGTGTTAAAAATTGGATTGTTACAAAAATAACATTTTTTATTTATTGATAACTTTAAAAAAAAATCTCATTGAAAAGGATGCTATGAAATTTAAACATTAATTAATCTTAAGTATATTTTTTCACCAAATAAAAGAAATAAAAGAAAGTAACATAATACAAGTAGAACCTCAAATATAATTATCATAATAAATTTGAAATGAAAAATAAAACAAGAAAATCAATATGTTTAATTTTAAAACAATAGCACTTTTTAAAGTTTCTACAAAATTAATACTTTATAGAATTATTATTTTTTTCACCAAAATAATTATTATCATAGCATAATACTATTAAAATAAAACATTTCATTATGAATATTCAAAAGACAGATATATTAGTATAGTTTTAAAAGTTAGGATCTTCTACACCTCTTACCGTAACCTC